CCCAAGGGACAAGAGTTCAGAACCTCTGCTGACTGGACCATGGGCTTTCTCTGAGCTGAAACCACCCTTGGCCCTTGGCCCTGCACCAGCCTCTGACACCTGATCCTGAGCCACAGGGCCACCCTCCATGTTCTGAGCTAACCTGGCAACTTTGTTTAGTCATACTTGCTGACCTCCAGCCTGCTGTGGCCCCTCAAGGTGGAGGTGGTCAGTGGTGGCCTGGGGGTCCTTGGGCAAGGAACAGAGGTGGGCAGGTCTGTGGCTGGGCTGTGTACTGGCTGTGGGCACAGCCCCAAGCTTTATAGCTGGGCAAGGCCTGTCAATGGGCAGACATTGCAGATACCCTGCAGGTCTGGCCTGGGCCACATTGTGGTTGCAGCTTGACACCTAATTATGTTCCAGAACAAATAGATCTTTATCTGTCCTGGTTTGGTGAAGAAACTTATGGTCTGAGAGGTTTGGATTGTAGGAAGCTGTTTGGATTGTGAGGTAATCCCAGTCACCTCCAATAAACTGTTCAAATGATTAGGGTTAGGGCTAGAACTGTGGGTAGGGGGGCAGAGGTTGGTGGCCCAGTCTGGTGGCACTTTAGGACTTGAACCCATCTGGTGGATTCACTTCAGGCAGGGCCTAGTGCTATGGGGCATGAGGGTGTTACCAGTCAGGGAGGGGGCTGTCATGCCACAGAGCTACAGGAGGGTTTTGGGAGGGGTGTTTCAGGCCAGGTGAAAGCCTTTACTTTGATGTCAGGTGACTTTTTGTTGGTCCAGGTGAAGCCAGGGGTTTGGGGATGTCCTGGCCTCTGAGGCCTCTCCTGCCCAGGTCCCACGCTGTGTCCAGTCCACTGTGAGTAGTCTGAAAACCCTGTTCCCCTAAGCCATTTACCAGGGCTGACATTCTGTGGCACCACCCTGGGCCTGAAGGGAGCGGGGCGGAGACGGATTAGACCCCAAGAGCTGTGTAGGCGACAAAGGAGGGAGGGCGCTTGGATCTGGAGGTGGACAGGAGCCCTACTGTGTGCCCACTGCTGCTGGAGATGCAGCAGAGGGCCACATGAGGTGGGGGTCCCACTCACCCCATCCTGGGCCAGAGGCTTCTCCTGAGAGACCCCTGGTCTCCCAGGTCAGGAGCCCAGTTATGGAGCCATCACCCCCTACCCTTCCAGTCTGCTGGGGCCTCAAGGAGGCTGGACGCTCATGCCTCTCACTCACCAGCGTTTCCACACCCTGGGCTTTATTGATGTGTTGGTTACAGAAGCGTGTCTTTAGGCACCGCCACCGCCATTACCCACCCACAGCCTTGTCTCCTGGCCCAGGCCAGCAAATGCCCACCCCACCCCGGCAGTAAATTGCTTCTGAGGCTCCTCCAATCTCATTTCCTGCAGCTCTAACCCCATGAGGGGATGGAGTCCCAGAGGCTGCCCTAGGTCCTCTTACATGATTTCCAGCCTTCTATGGATATGATAACACTCTGTAAGGCTTCCTTGAACTTGGAGAAATCACTTTTCTCAATAGTACAGTTCTTTGGAGAGTCTGTTGGCTAAATAAGAAATACACATGTTAAGTCATCTTAGCAAAAAAAAAAAAAAAAAAGGAAGCCTGAGGCAAAGCACTACTTCACTTCAAATTATGTTACAAAGCTACAGTAACCAAAAGAGCATGGTACTGACATAAAAACACACACTCAAGCCAATGGAACAGAATAGAGAACCAAGAAATTAACCCTCATGCTTACAGCAAACTGATCTTTGACAAAGACAACAAGAACGTATGTTGGGGAAAAGACTGCCACATCAATAAATGGTACTGGGAACAAAAAAAAAAAAAAAAAAAGAGTAAATAAAAGCAAACTCTTGTCTTCCCAGCCACAAGGGACTTGTAAGCACCCACCCCCATCCCCCCACCCCGCTCCCTAGGAGGTAACTGGGACAGGCCTTCCTCTGTCTTAGGAAGAGCCCTGGGGGCTGCTTGGTGATAGCAGGGCCCAGGGTCTGAGGACCACCCATAGCCTTGGGGACGGAGCCGTCAGGGCAGAAGCAGGTCCCACAGCTGTCCAGGACAGGGACACGAGAACAAACAGAGTGGGAATACACAAGGGACTGTGTAAGCAGTGGGCAAAGAGGGAGGAGCATTTGTCTTGATATGCTCCCCTAAACTGCCACCCGTCCCTCCCATCATGGGCTCCCAGTGGGGGTCATCAGTCCAGGAGAGGTCTCGAGGACAGGGCGAGCTGGAGCAAGCTCGGACTCGCTGCCTGGCTGGGGTCAGCACTGAGAGGCCATTCCCTCTCCCTAGGCTGAGTCCCTGACCAGCCTGCTCTGACCTGTCTCGGACCTGCCCCACACTGCCCCTGGGCATGGGGGCTTGGCAGAGCGCACGGACTGAAACCCCCAGAACCCCAGAATTGATACTCCCTCACCCCCAGCTTTCCACTCCCCACCCTCCATCGCCTGTCAGTGAGCGGGCTTCTTTTAAATTGGAGACAGTCCTGGAGAATAGCCAACTGAGGCCTTGCAGTGGCAAGAGGGGTCCATAAGAAGCCCTTTGCCCTGCTGGGCCCCTGGCTGTGGTGCAGGGAGATGATGTCTCAGGTTCCCCTATGAGCGAACAGCCACTTACTTTCAGCTTTGGGCAGATTCTGGTGAGTTCTTTCATGTCCTTATAAACCTTTATTATGTGATGGTCTTGCTTGTTATATTTTGTAATGAGATTCTTCAGGGTAGAGGTGAAGTTCTTCGTAAACTCCCCATAGCAGAGCTCCTGAAATAAGGTTGGGGACCCTGGGATGATGGTGGTACACAGCAGGACACCAGCTGAAAGCCCCGACCTCATCCATCCCTGGTCACCCTGGCCAACAGAACCCTGGGTGCATGATCAGGCCCCACTGATTCTTCCACAGGAGACCTGTGAGCCCTGCAGGCTATACAATGGAGGCAATGGGTGTCTGGTAGGTACCTCCCAAGGACCAGGGCTGTGCTAGAATGGTGGCTGAAGAGTCTGGCAAATCCCAGGACCCGGCCACTGGTCCATCTGTTGGCTGAACTGGAGTCTCTCTCCTCAAGCTGTCAGCCCTTTCCCCAGATTTCTCACTCCAATGTGCCTTGTTCTAATCTCTTCCTGGGTGCTGACAGGGGTGATCCCTCTCTCCCTGTTCAAATGCGGTCAGAGAGGTAGCCACACCTTACCTCACTGGTGTTCTGGGGCCTACTGAAGGAACCCTGGAAGCAAGAGAAGTTGGTCAGAAACACAAAGGGCCACTGAAAGCACAGTAACATCTGATGAAGACCCAGACTTACCTTGTATGTATTGTTGTCAGCCGAAAGTTCTTTCTGAATCTCAGCACAGATTGCCGTGTGATTTTCGTGGGGAGACACAGTGGCTACCTTCATTGGGGCAGAATGGCTTTCTGACCCCCAGAGCACACAAACCAGGAGCACATACAGGTGCATGGTATTATATGAAGGTGGCCGCAGGCCGATCGGAGCCCTGGGCTTGGCAGCATTTCTGTGGGGAGGGGTACCTATATATGCAAATCTAAGGAAATGCTAAACCTCTTATCAGTCATCACCAACTTGCAAAGAAGACAGAGAGGACCTTATCTCTGGGCAAGATGTGCTTTTCATGCATTTTTTTTCAATGATCACAGCACACTTCATGGATTCTCGTCTTTGCTGGTATTCAGGCTTGGTCTAAGACTTTTTATTTGTAATCACATCTGGAGTCATGACCTTTATGCCTGCGTGTGGGGCAGGGCTCTGGCCAGGACTGGCACTGTCTGCAGGTGCCTGCAGGTGCTGGCTAGAGGAGGGAAGACGAGTAGGGTGGTGGGCACGCAGCTGCAGACAGCACCCGGCAGCTCCCCAGGCCCACCCGTCAAGCAGAAGGCTGACCCTGCTGCCCACCCAAGACTTGAGGACACATTGACTTCATCAGAATTTCCAGGAGGGACACAGGAGAACAGGTTCAGGAACAAGGCCATCAGTACAGCCTTCAAAGCAAGGAGAAGGAGGGCTGTTTTTTTCTCAGCCCAAAGGCGATAGATTTTAGGGGGAAGTGCCTGGTTGGATTCAAAACTTCACGTAAAAATAAAAACCAGTTCAGAAAAATGTTACACTAGAACCATGTACCAACAAATTATGAACTTACTTTCTGACTCTCAAAGATTAAGATCACCCATTTTGGGGAAAGTTTGGTAATTATGCTGAGCTCTGACCCCTGTGGTTTGGTTTCTTTTTCCTCGAACGCTTAGTCTGTTTGCTGATTTACCTGGGGAGTCCTTGAAGCCCTGAGTTTGAGGGGCAGGCTGTGGGGCCCGGGGTCCAGGGCCTCTAAGGGGCACAGATGTTTTGTCTGATGCCAGGACGGGCCTATTCAGCCAGTGACCAGGCGACCCCCCGCCGCCCCAGGAAGGATGATGCCTCTTCTCTGGGGCAAGATTCACCGGGCTGCTTGCTTGGACTTCCAGAAAGCCTCTTTCTGGGGTGAGAGACCTGGAGCATCAGGTGTGCAGAATGCTGCCCCGAGGCCTGGCTCTCTCCTCCTCTCTGCCCTGACAGCATTGCCCCTCAGACAGTGCCCAACCCCGGAAGGCCCCCCACCCTTCCCACACCTCCCCGCGTCCTCCCCTCCTTGCCCCTGGAGATGAGGGGCACCACCGGCACTTGTTCATGGTTGAAAATAAGCTGGAAAACTGCACAAATTAAAGCAGACTTTTAATAATTTATTATTATAGTAAAACCCATCGAATAAATATGGGGTATAAACTTAAATAAATAAATAAATAAATATTTTAAAATATATAAAAATATAAATAAATATTACTGATCCCTACCAGTATAAAGCATTGCCCATTCCTCTGCCATGCCCTTATCAGGGTCAAGGTGGCCCAGGACAGGTCCATGCCACCCCCACTGTGGCTGTGGCCCGCCCTTTGGTCCCTCCGAATTGAAGATCCTGAGTTTCTGGCTCTTTTAGGATGAGAGAGCAGCAGTTTGTGAGGTGAGCTCCCAGGGCTGGCCGGCTGGCCTAGCCTGCCTCACTTCTGGACCGGTTCCCAGCAGTCAAAGGGGATGGTAAACAGAAACTCCTTCAGGTTCTCTTTGAAACTTTTGAAGGTGATAGTCTGGGTAGCACAGGAAGTTTCCTTAAGAAAACAAAAAGAAAAAAAAAAAAATACCACTTGAGTCCAGGCAAAGTGTAACGGGGAAAGCACCAGCAGGTGTCTGAGCTGCCTCCTAGAACTCAGAGGCCAGAAGGCCTATCTGCGGCCCACCCACTAACCTCGGCCGGGTGACACTGTGGCCACCCATGTGTTACCCAAGGGTTGCACAGCTCTGCCAGTGGCAGCGGGGGCCAGAGGCCTGACAAAGTGCCAGCTGAGGCTAGTCTTGGAGGCAGTCAGACCGTGGCCTCTTTGGCTGGGGCCAGGGCAGAGCAGCTGGTCTGAGGTCGTCTTCAGGCACGCAGAAGGAGCAGGAGTCAAGGCCACAGACCTCAGTGCCTTTCCATAGGAAGAAAGGAGTATCCGATGTCTTTGTCCATTCCAGGTAGGCCCCCTTCCTTGCTTCTGTGCAATCCTGGCACCCCTGACATGGAGCCCAGGGAAAGTCCTGTGGGGAGGTGGCTTTTGAGCCCTGGCACTTCCTCTGGACCTTGAGCAGGCCCTGAGTTTCCTTGGGTTTGCCTCACCTCTGACCTCATTAATGGTCACAACAATAACAAAAAGGACAGCAGCAGCTCCCACTAGGGAGCACTCTAGGGATGAAAATGGGCCGGCTGCTTTCTCTCTGGAGGGGCTCATCATTACAAATCTGTTGACACAGAAACGCTTTGGAGCCCTGAACGGCCACAATCAGAGGCTCTCTCCCCACCCAGTCCCCATCCTCCTAGACCTTCCTGCTTGGGGCCTGTTGTGGGCACTCACCTGGGTGGGGGGGCAGTGCTGCTTGTAGTGGCTGGCCATCATGGTCAAAGGGCCCTTGAGCCTGGCAAGACTGCCCCTCAGGCCCTGCTTGTACAGCCCCAGGCGGGTCTGCAGGCATGTCGGCTCCTGTGGAAATGTCGTTCCTCAGTGAACTGTGGCCACGGTGGAAAATGACATGCTCCCCGACACTCATTCCTCTTCCTATCCCTGTCTCCCAGGAGTAGGGCTTGGGATGGGCGTAGGATGATTCCCGACTAATCTCAGGCTGGGTCCAGCCACACACACTGCCCTGCCCACTGCAGGCATGAGCCTGCTCTCCCCACTGCCCAGCTCAGGCCACTCTGAGCTGGCAGGAACACATTCCCTTAGCCTGGCATCACCAGAGGGTCCCAGCCCACAGGGAAGGTGGTCACTCTCATCCTACCATTCAGGGAGAAGGCAGCAGGGCAGGGTGGTGAGCAAGGGTTGCTCCCGAAACCCCTCAGTGCCTCTCTGCAGTCAGCACCCTGTCTCCACAGGGCTTGGTCTCAGGGTACAGTGGTACTCCAAGCCCACAACCTGCCTCATGAGGTGATCTTCACTTTCCCACCTGTCCCCTGATGACCCCTTGCCCTTGAATGCTAGGTCTGCCCTTGGCTGCTCACTAATAAAGGAGCTCACGTAACTGCCACAGGGGCAAGGCCAGTAGCCTCTCGAGCACCCAGACTCTGTCCCCTCTCCTCCTGGCAGCCAGCTGGCTGGAGAGAAAGTGGACAACCCTGTAGAGATCCATCTAAAATAGAGCCCCCCAGGGCAGAGGCCTCTGGAAAGAGATGTTAGAGAGAAGCATCCTACCTGGGGGTCAAACATTTCAGAGACGACTTCTACAGTTTCATTCTGCAGGAAAGGAAAATGTCATGTTATCAAGCTGATAGGACTGGTCTGAGACCAGAGGGGTGGCCCAGGCACAGGCCAGTGCTCTCTCTCTCACTCACCATCACGGTGGCAGTGTCACTACTGTGGCTCAGGAGGAACAGGGCCTCCTTGATGGCATCCACATGCTGCCAGGGCCGGGTGACAGGGCTGGGTGGGTAGGTGGGTGCCGAGATGCTGCAGACCACAGTGCCCAGGAGAAGCAGGTTCTGCAGCCACATCCTCCTGAGGACTTTAGCCTTTCTCTCTGAGTACTGGGCTCACTGGCAAAAGAGCTCTTATATACACAGTTAGAGGAAATGATTAATGGTGACCACAAAACGCCAAGGAGGCGGGGGAACTACCTGAACTGTGGAATCTCCTGGCCCTTATCAGCTGCACATGGGAATGGTGAGCCTTTCCCCCAGGTGGTCAGGCTCAGGGGTTTTCATTAATGAGCCCTTCCAAGAACGAACAGCCCACCCGCTCGCCTCCTGGAGCACTCGCCAGCCCTCCTGGGCAGTCTGACCAGGCCCTCCCTCTGAGTGGCCTCTGGGCACAGCTTGGACTTCTTGGCCTGGAGTGGCTGTGGTGGGGTTTGGGAGACACTAGACTGGGCTCCTTCTCCCAGGCTGCCTATCCTGTCTGTTGTCCAGGAGGCCTTTGGGCAGGCCGTGCCCATCCCAGTGCCCCATTCTGACTCCAGCCTTCCGCTTCTCCTCCCAGATCCTTCTCTGGCCACCGTGAGAGATTTGAGTGTGAGAAGAGCTCTCACTGTCCACTCAAGCAGGGTCCAGCCAAATGGCACAGTCCTATGATGGCTCACAGGCTCCCACCAAGGACCTAGTACATTCAGGAAGCTCAGCCCAGGCAGGGACGCCTGCTCCCGGGAGCAGAGGGAATGACAACCATGTGCACATCCAGCCAGCAAGACCGCAGTGCATTCCTTCATGGTGAAGTCCCATCTGAAAGCGGTAGTCCAATTTACAGAGCCACGCGCAACCCCTAAGCTGCAGAGGTGGGTCAGGGCTCTCAGCTGGGGCATGTCAGGGCTCTGAATTTGACTCCTGGCTCCAGCACCACTTTGCTGAGTGACTCTTCCCTCTGAGTTATGTGAACCTTGCCTCCCTCTGCAGGGCAGGCTGCCCCTCTGAGGTGGGTACTACGCAGATACCAGGAACTTCGGGGGCTGGCTGCAGGGTTGTGGCTGCACCTGTACCAGGTATGGGGACAACAGCTTCTCAAGCAAGGTCTTTCAGGCTTAATTTCCTACATGGCCCCAGCTCCAGCCCACTTCCAGCCCCAGAGGTCTCACTGTGGAATTAGGAACTGCTTGTGGAAAAGCTACAGGATCTTGAGGGGCTGACAAGTGTTTGGTTTTCACAACAGAGCTCGGAAAAGACAGCATGAGTTTGTGTTTGCACAAGGGATCCGGCTCAAGCTGCCTCATGCCAGGAGTTTCATGGCCATAGAGGTGTCGGTCCACATGTGCCCATTTCTGAGTGTATGTGTGCCAGTCTGATTGGATGCATCTGTACTCACAGGTGTGTCTTGGAGGAGAGCATATTTTACATGGGGGAGGGGGGCATCGTGTGAGCCTTGATTCCTGTCGCCTGCTTTACAAAAGGCTCTAGGCCTGTGAAGGTTCCCCTCTGGTGTTGGAGAAGCTCGCACATGAGGTATGATGCTTCTGGCCTCCAGAGGCTGAGTCAGCCTAGGCTGATGAGGTCGGACACAAGTGAGGACATTCTGCTAAGCCTTCAGGGAATAGTTCGAACTCATGGCCTGAGTACTGTGGTCTGAGTCTGCAGTCCTGACAGATTTCACTGTACAGTGGGGGTTTTGCTTCCCTTACACAGGGAAGCCAGATCTCAGTCCTCCAGACCCCACCCGGGCTCCCTGCCTGGATCTCAGGCCTGCCATGAGGCCAGCCACGCCTTTCTGAGTCTGGTGGAACATTCCTAGTGGCCAGGCCAGGGGTGGGAGCATAACATGTCCAGGTCCTGGCCCTTCCTTCATCTTTTCCACCAGGCCTTTGCTCAGCTCCTTCCAGGGAGCTCTCAGGGGGACAAGGAGGGACATGGATACTAGATACAGATGCCACATGGAGTGGAGGTCTATGTCAGACAGCGCTCAAAGGCTGGGGAGCCCCAGGTAGTGGCTAAGCTGGGGGCCAGGGAGGCAGAGAACTGGTGTGGCCCCTCTGAGATAGAAGGTCATTTTCCTCCTGGAAATGAGTCATCACAGCTCAGACAGCCTTTCCAATGTGACTAGGGCCTGTGCTGATGAGGAGGTGGATGGGACCCTCCCAGTGTCCTTCATATCTGGCCCTTGAGGCTCTCAGTCTGGTGGGGAGACAGACTGCAGAACACTCCCATGGATGGGGGAGGTACAGAGCCGAGGGATCCCAAGGCACCACCTCCCCAGCTTGAGGGCTCAAGGGCACCAGAGAGCTTCCTGGAGACACCACCTCCCAGCACAGGCTGAAAAGGCAAGTAGAAGTCAGGTGGGCAAGTTGGGTTGTGGCGCAGAGGGGCAGGAGAGGATGGGGGAGAGTGTTTGAGGCACAAAGAGTCCTGGGGTTTCAGGAGTGGGTATGGGGAAGAGGAGGCAGTTTTCAGAGAGATTTAGGAGACTCTTGAAAGGGCTTGACTTTGCAGTGGACTCGCTTGGTCATTCAATCTTTATTGAGCACCTGCTAGGTTTCTGGCAGGGAAAGGGGATCCAAGAATGACAGAAAGCAGTCAGTCCTGCCTTATGGACTTTGTAACCCCACTGACAGGGGACAGAGCTAATCTACTCATGCCCCCCTCCCCAAAGTGTGATTTTGAATGTGAGTGAGTACAGGTGACTAAGGTGGGGACCCAGGGGACAAAGGAACAGGTCTATAGGGTGTAAGGACCCACAGGAAGGTTCAGAGCTTCGGAGGCGGAATGTGCAGGAGACAGATGTGGGAGCAGTCCACATCCACATGGTAGCTGAGGCCACAGAGGGTTATATGGGAAGAAGAAGGGCTGGGGGCGTGGTAGCTAGGTGAGTGACAGGCCAGTGGCCAAGAGCCCTGGGTTGTGCAGCAAAGGAGGAAAGCAGGAGCCACAAGGAGAGATCAAAGCAGTGTGGCCTACAGGTGCTGAGGTCAGCACTCATAGGACAAATCCATGGGTTTGGTGATGAGGTTCGTGGGCAGCCACACATCTTTCTTTTGGAAAGATGACATCAGGGCTGAGGCCATGACACAGCAGGCATTCCTAGATTGCACCACGTGGAAAGAGGCAGCAATAGATAGCATCCAGCCAGCTGCGCTGACTCAGGGGCCCCAGTGGGGCTGCGGTGGGGCAGAAGCGGGGACCATGATGGGCACTGGGATCCCTCTTTGGCCCCTTTCCCCTGCACCAGGAGAAAATGGTCTGGAGGCGTGTCCTGTGAGTGTCCCTCCCCATAGGCTCTGGAGGAAACAGGGCTTGTACGGTCCCAGGATTCTTATCACAGGAGGAAGTTATTACAAGGGGAAAGAAACAAGCCTCAAAGTCAGTCACGTCCCGTGGGAACTCCACACAGGCCTCTCAGCTGATCTGATCCTTCCTTGTGTCTGCCACCCCTCACTGGGGTCCTCGTCCTCACTGGGGGCCTGAGATCAGAATTTGAACACATCTGTTCCTGCTACCCTGAAATTTTCTACTATCTTGGGTGTCAGAAAGTCCGGGAATGCTGGTCACGTGGCTGGACCAGCAGAGGGGGGCATGGAGCACGCTTGTCTCCTTCAGGGTAGCTGTAAAGGGAGACTCCCACCAGGTGTTGTCAGGGAGGCTGAAGTGGCCTGACTGTCCCAGGGAAGCCTGGGGGCTGAAGGCAGTATTTCCACAGCAGATCCTGCCATCGAGGCATCTCTCTGCCCCAGGCCTGGACTCTTTTCCCTGCCCAGCTACCACTGATCCCCGGGTAGCCCAGGAAAAGTCCATCCTTCCTGATCCTGAGCTCCCTCATCTGTTCAATGGGCTAATGATCACTGCCTCCCAGAGGAAGTTGTTGCCGGTCCCAGGAAATGGCAGATCCTCCAGGGAAGAGGCAGTGCCTCAAGCTCTCCTCTGCCCACCACTGTGGGAGGTTTCTGAAGCCCAAGCTGGAATTTAGGGCTCATGGGGATTTCCATGAACAGCTGCCCCTTGCCCAGCCCTAGCCTCAGAGAGCATCTTTCTGGACAGATGTGGTGGGTGGAGAGCCCAGTCTCCACCCAGAATTGAGGGTCACGGGTCCTGCATCACCTTCAGGAGACCCTGGCACAGGCACAGCACCATGAGTGGCTTGTCCTTCCCTGAGTGGGGGTTCTTGTCACTCTAAGCCACGACAGACACACAAAGCAACATCTCTGGCCCCTGTGGGCTCATGTCAGCTCCAGGCTGACACTTCCTGCTTCCCCTCTGTCTTGGTCCCCAAAGGCCAGACTGCCCTGGCCAAACTCCAGTTCTGGTCTCCTCCCTGAGTATCCCCAGGCTCCTGGCACTGGTGAGTCCTAGCTGGTCTGGGAGGATCTGAGGTGGTTAACCCCCAACCGAGTGTGGACTCTGCATCCATTCAACCAAGCTTCCCTTGGGGTCTGTGTGTGATGGATCTCACAGGCCCCTGCACTCGCGTCTCATGGTTCCATGGGGTGGGGACAGCAAGCACGAGGCCCAGACTCACAGGCATAGTGTCAAGGGTGCCAACCAAGATGTGCACAGAGAATGAGCAGCACAAGGAGGTGGTCATGAAACGAGAGTACAGAAAGGTCAGAGAGGGCCTTGAGGGGACGTGTGGGGGGTGCGGGTGTGGGCAAGAGGAGAGTGAGGCGTCTGTGATGCTCAGGGTTCTGGCTCAGGCCGTCAGGTGGATATCGGGGCCAGTTGCTGCAATGTGGGAGACCCAAGCTGGCAGAGAGGTTTGGGGGGTGAGCCCAGACTGGACTGGATGTGGCAAGTGTGAGGGGCATGGAGACCTCCAGGAAGACTCAAGTCTTTTGTGGTCATGTAGGTCCAGAGGTCAGGCCCAAGACACTTGGAAGAAAGTCACAGGTGAAAGGAGGTTCTCAATCCTAGGGGAGCTTCGCAGAGTGGGCAGGCCTTGGGTAGTGCCCAGGGATGCCCACTTTTCAGAGTTGGCCAAGGACAATGAGGCCTCCTTACTCACTTTGTTTCTTGTTCTCGGGGCTTGCTTGCTGTTTCCCCACAACCCAGTAATATGCCATGCACACTCGGGCAGATGAGTCCTTGTGGATACACACACCCCATGGATGCACCAGGCCTGCCCCTCGCGGTGCCCTCCCTCTGCCTGTGCCTCATATTCCCTCTAGGTCTGGAAATGCACTGCCCACCCTGAATCTCTGCCCCGAGCCTCCTCTCCAGCTGGGAGGGTCATCAGGCACCCAGAGGGGGCCACTGCCTGTATCTGCCTGCTTGGGAAGAGTCATTGGGGGCTGCATTAAAAATCACAAGTAAGAGAAATCATGAGACAGAAGCCTTTACAACCTCTGAAGTCCTTAGGGCTGGAC